TTTGTTTCTGCCATGCGATTAAAAAAATGTTAAGAGGTAATTGCAACTTTTTGTGAATTCTGAGTTTATATCTCATAATTGGACTTTTTTTTACTTCCTTCCGGACTTCCGGAAGTTTGTTTCTGCCATGCGATTAAAAAAATGTTAAGAGGTAATTGCAAGGTTAAGGGGTAAATTGAGTTTATATCTCATAATTGGACTTTTTTTTTATTTAAAGCTGCATTCCGTAACTTTTTTTTGGTTAAACATTATCCAAAATCAATTATTGAGCAAGTACATAACCGAAGATAAAGTCTCAAATCCAAAGAGATATTCTTTATAAAAGTGAACGCTCATCCATGCCTTCCTAAAACGCTTCGTTCAAACACGCCCCCACATATCTATGTCACTGTGTGGGAAGATTTGCAAAAACACCGCCCATATGTATACGCAAACAAAGAAGGCATAACTTTTATTCTCGCCGCCATGTCGTGAAGACGCTGTGTGTTTCGTTGCGAAAGCCAAACTACTTTGTTTGGTCTTCCAAAAGAGGACACAACTAGAACTCAAACTAGAACTTAACTAGTGGTTAAGTTTCATTTACAACACTGTTCCAGAACAGTACGACCCAAATATTCGAGTGTGTGCAGCGCAGTTTACGGAGGAAATTTTCCTGAACCTGGTAAAGGGGCGTAACATTTCCGTCACACGCTTGAGGTATTCGGCCAATCACAACGCACTAGATAGCTGGCCAATCAGAGCATACCGTGCTTTTCAGACCGATGAGCTTTGTAAAAATTGCCGCGTTTCAGAAAGGCGGGGCATAGAGGAGCAACAATAATGTACAGTATGTGGAAAATAATGTGTTTTTTGAACCTTAAACTGCGTAAACAAATTGCATTACACCAAATACACAAAATAATGTTCTTTTTAGCAACATCATATGACCCCTTTAAACTTATTGAAATTAAAAGTACAAGTAAAATCAAAATAGAAAAGGAGCAAATTAATATAAAAAATTGTTCTATACACAGTTTGAGCAGCCAGATAGTGTTCAGTTTTAACTCTTCCATTTTGTATCTTTGGGTTAGCATAAGAGCCACTTCATCTGGTACGAAGACTCTTTCCTTCCAACATAAGAAAGCATTTTTGGAATCTGCATCTGAAGTGGCATTTAGATTCATTACAGACTGTTTAATGCAGCTCAGAGGGGACATGCATTAAACCAGCAGTTACAAATGCATAAATAATGTTTTGTTTTAAACATAAAACCTTGAATATTGATAATTGAAAAGATTTCAAATATGAAAAGATACTTGAAATGTGAAATTAAAGCCACTAGTAGGTGGCAGCAAGTCACTGTTAATGAGCGAAGCATTGAGATTAAACTGATTCAATCAAAATGTTGATTCATTCAGGAATTAAAAACATTTGACTGTTTTAATTAGAGTCACTGAATTATTCATTCAAAAAACTGATTAATTCAATAAGTAAACACCATCCTGTGTGTTGCTCAGCGATGCAAAACAGTGCTGTTTAGAACTATTTTCATAGAGCGTTTGCACTTACGTCACGGTTTGGACAGTTACCCGGATGTGCGGCCATATTGGAGATACTCGTTTGTAAACAACAGCATGGATTGCATGGCTAATGCACTAATGAAAACGCTGTTTTACTAATTTATGATGTCTAAATCATGGAAAAAAACATGTGGAAGCTGCTAAATCATATAGAGAAGGACTTGGTAAGCAGGAAAGGGTGTGATATTTTGACAAACTAAATTTAATATGTGGTAAAGAGCCGTACGAGCTGGCTCTTTTGTCATGGACTGATGACCTGACAATTGTTCCTTCTATTTCTTATCCCGACATAGTGAACTACTTCATTTTTTTCACCAAGCCTATACATGAGTTCTGTTTGGTTCAGTGGCATTGTTTACATTCAGTGCCACCAATATGGTTGACTTCCGGATTGATGACATATAGTGAAAACACCCTATTGGCGAAATACAGCAAAAACAGGCATCTAAAATGTAAGTAACGTAATACTAACTTTATTAAGCTTGTATAAAATCAATATTGCATTTGTTATCATGCTGATATCTGGAGAAAAAATGGCACTCAGTGTGATCTATATTAAATTGACTATATTAAATGATATAAATAAAAAGACAATATAGAGGCATGTTGCCTCTTATCTTGAATCTTATGGGCAGTCTAAATGCATTTTAATAGACTAAATTACAGTGTACGCGTGCACTCTCTGGGTGTGTTTCTGTGATATACTCAATGTCAGATCGCACATCGTTAAAACAACACTTACGATATTAGCGCAGACGATATTAATCACCACTGGTCAAACAATGACCATTTATTGTAAAACTTTTTGTTTTCAGTTGGTCAGAACAAAACTGGCAGACATGTTACTTGTTCAGATGACATTTCGTATTTTGGGCATACTTCCAAGATGTATTATCTATTATTTTGATATCTATTATAATTAAGTACAGTGACTATCCACACTGGTGCGTTGACTGACAGCCCACACACATCTCAAAACATTAGATTCATAACAACAATTGCAGGTTTTAAACAGAGATGGCGACAAAGAGGCAAAACTGACGCACTGCAGCTTTAAAGGGGTCATATGATGCTTTTTTAAAGATCATTATTTTGTGTATTTGGTGTAACAGAATATGTTGACATGCTTTAATGTTCAAAAAACACATAATTTTTCAAATACTGTACATTATTGTAGGTCCTGCATGCCCCGCCTCTCTCAAACGCTTCGTTTTCTACAAAGTCCCTCCTTCCGACAAGCGCAGTCTGCTCTGATTGGCCAGCTGACCCAGTGCATTGTGATTGGCCGAACACCGCAAGCACTCGTCGGAAATGTAACGCCCCTTACCATAATCGCGAGCTTCATCTTTCAAAATAAATGTAAAGACTTTGAGACTAGTCTTTGCAACTTCAGGGATCTTATCTATGCACAATCAGTTTGTAACACTCCAAAGAGAAAGGAAAACTTGAAATCGCATCATATGACCCCTTTAAGAATTGCAGGATACAACCTCAGAATTGCAAGAAATAAACTAAGAAAAGTCAGAATTATGAGATATAAACTATTTATAAACATACATTTTTTTTCCAGAAAAAAGTGTAAAATTTGTAAGATGTAAACTACGAATTTCAAGAAAATATTAAGAATTGCAAGAAGAAAGTCAGAATTCTGACTTTATATATTTTATATATAAGATAGTTTATATCTTGCAATTCTGACTTTTTTTGCAGAATTGTGAGAAAAAAAGTCTGAACTGTGAGATAAAAAGTTGCAAATACCATTTTCATTTATTTATTTATTTATTTGTTCCGTGGCAGAAATTGCCCTCCATAATTCATTCATTCATTCACCTGACCAATAATTTATAAAATACAATTAAGAGTTTGCACTCATTCAAATTAATCTATGGGTTCCCAAACTTTTTTGTCAGCTGAACCCCTTTGACCTTATTTTTCTTTTCATGACGTGAAGGTAATTTATTCATATTTAATCTTGTTTTAGCAAGTTTTCTTTTGATTGCTTTTTTTATAATAAAAATATTTATTTTAATTTAATATTTTTTACGATTTAATTAATATTTTAGCTTTTCATTAACTCTCAAACCCCAGTTTGGAAAACCCTAAATTGATCCATTAATTTACTCTCCTGTTCACTCATTTGTTCATTGGTTTGTTTCATTCATTTATTCAACTCGTCTCACTGTAACAATAAAGAGCCTGAATCTGATCACTCATTTAATTAATTTATACATTTATTCACTCACTCATTCATTCAGGCATTCGTTTAAATAATATTGTTTTACCTTGTTGTACAATCACAATAAAGAACTTAAATCTTTCATTGATTTGTTCATTCATTATCCACTAAATCATCATTTACATTCATTTTCCATTCAGAACTTACTGGCTGCACAATTTTGAGGGAAAATGTAATTGCTCAAAAAAATTTAAATTGAAGGTTTAAAAGTGTTTTTGTAAGCTCCGGGGTTGCTGTGTTTGTTTGTAGGGCTGTACAATTTGTACAAAGATATATTTGTGTTTTTTATATATGTGTGTATACACACATACACACATATAATCCCTAATTTATTCTATCGATTCCTTTACTCATTCTTTCATTCATTCTTTTATCATATTCATTCTCTCAGTCATTCGTTCATTCTTTGTGTCCATGAGACACTGCTGACACATCAGATAATGGAGGGGTTTGGTGGAGAGCTAGAGGACAAAGTTGAGAGAGAGAGAAAGACCCTATATCTCAAACCACTCAACCATTACTGCCCTTAAGATGGGCTGGATGGAGCTCACATTAGTCACACACACACACACACACACACACACACACACACACACACACACACACACAGTAAC